CTCGCTTGAAATGATAAAAATTTTAAAAAATTCAGAAATTAATGTAAATTATTTGGATCACATATTCCGTGGATTGATCGAGCCCCCCTCACAAAAACGATCAAATAAAACAATTGGCGAATCCAAACAAAAGCACTTTTCTGAAAGCTATGATTGAAAAAAAATTTACATAGAAAAAAATGGAGTTGAGTAAAAACACTTATTTCAATGTCCTCCTTTTTACCAGAGAAACGTAAAAAAAAAAATATTGAGCTAAAATACCCTCTAAGATTATTCGGCATTGTTTTCTTGTAAGTACATGACATTTTGCAATGAGCATATTGCTACAAAAACAATAATTAGACAAAACCGTATTAATAGGGAAGAACATTCGAACTCTGTCTTATTTAAAAAGTCTTTCAATAACATGACTCAAATGGGGAAATGAACATAAATTAAATGATGACACAAGTTCAGGAGAAAAAAGTGACTAAAAATGAAAGAGCTGGAAGATGACAAATGACAGCAAATAAAAGAGATTGTTCCTAACAAACCAATACAAAATTAATGCATTACACAAACTAAGGCATTCATTTTACTTTAAAACACACGTTTAAGGAAAAAGAAGTACATTGTCAGAAAACAGAAAGAAGAACCCACCACAGCTAAGAAAAAAATGAATTTTGGTTGCACTGCTGACAAAACCAGTTTCCTGTTGGTTCTTCTTTTAGTTCATAGCACTGGTAGTGGAACCATTTACCACAGTGATCACAAAGTACCATCTCCGTGTCAAAGCATGCAGGCAATCTACAATGACAATATACCTGGACTTGTTGTTCGTCATCATATTGAGTAGTTCTCTTTGGTCTACTGCTCAAAGCAGGGAACTTGGTTAAAATCCCTGCTGTGACGCAACTCTTCCAATGCTCTCGCATTTTACTTTGGTCAAAGTCAATGAACCCCGTTTTTGAAGTAAAGCAAAACTCTGTTGCATTCGCAATGGCAAACAGAGCACAATCATAGGAACCTTTCTGTTGTTGGCAAGGTTTCCTGCATATTGCCAAATGCTCTTTTGTTGTTTGTGAGATCATAGCAACTTGAGTTTGTACAAAGTTGCTTAGTTTATTTTTACGCAAAGAATCGAAAATGATTGCTTTGTCGGGAGAATCTGTAAAAAATATTAGATGTTACTAAAATAAAGCTTAATGCGATAGCGTTAAATAATAATAAATTAATTGAGTACCTTTTGGGAAGATGCATGTCACCCAATGCTCATTCCCAGTGTGCATGATCTGGACATAGTCCTTGTCTGTTAGTGGAGGGTAGTATAAATTTTTGATTAATTATATTCGCACCAATTGGTGCGGATTTCCGTAGACCTACTATTTGCACCAATTGGTGCACATAGCTCACACTACTAATTCTCACCAATTGGTGCACCAATGGTACAAGTTGCTATCCGCACCAACGAGCCTGTGGAGGGGGCCGTTGGGGCGGATAGCAGCTTGTGCCTTTGGTGCACCAATTGGTGCGGTCTCGGTACAGTCAGCTATTCGCACCAACGCGGGCCCGGAGGGGGCGGTTGGTGCGGATAACAATCGGTCAAGGAAGAGCACCAATTGGTGCACCTATGTTAC